AACTGCCAGAAAACCTAAACCCATCTCCTAGCAAAGAAACACAGCGATATCTTTCTCAACCCCTGGCAATTGAAATCGTGAACCACAGCTATGGTGACTTCACCCTTATTGTGCTGACTTTATGACCGAGCAGGTCATTAACAGTACAGAAGCAAGACTCAGCTTACCCCCATCTTAAAAATGCAGTTCTTTGGGATAAACTCGGTCTGTACTCACTTAGCCATTCACTATGGGATGGCTGCAAACTAGCCCACTTGTTTTCCTGGAAGCTTTTTATTTTTTTTTTCCAGTGAAAAAAAGGCATTGAAATGATATTATTTAATGAAAAGAAGGCATTTAAATCAAAAGAAAAAATTCTTGCTCATTGACCTTTTCTGGCGCTTGCTAAAACTCTTGGTTTTCAGTAAAAAAACAACCTGTTTTGCTCCCCACCCTGAAAACATCTCCAAAACCCAACAATTGGAGGCAGGCTGGGTTTTTTCACCAAAAAAAAAAAAAATCCTAACTAAAAATAGTTTAGGGGATTTTTTTTTTTTCTTTTTAAAAGAACTTTTTAAAAAAAATCCAGGAACAAAAAAGTATTTGGTATTTTTTGACTCCTGGAAAACAAACGTTCGTTTTTGACTATAGGATTCCGACTCAGCATTTCATCCCACCGACGTCCATGGGACCACTTGCATGTCTAACTGCGAGGGTTATATGATCTGCTCCAAGTCTGAAGTCGCATCGGACGAGGCTACTGGAGGGGCTACTGGCCCGGGAGCCTGTCTTATGAGAGGAGGCCAAAGCAGCTTGGCTTCTTTCAGCCTAGCGAAACAAAGGCCAAGAGGACATTATTGTCCCCTCGAATATATGAAGGGATAAACGCCGAGGGGGAAGATCTCTAAGCTCAAGGACAGCATTGGCACAAGTGAAAATGGGTGTGAGTTGGCCATCAGTGAATTTAGGCTGACCATTACACAAAGGTTTCCAGCACCAGAGGAAAGAGGTCAGGGGGCCGTGCAACCAAAACCTCGAACCATGGAGCGTACGCAGCACCATTGCCGCAACGGCTGGGGTTTGGACTTGATGTCCTAGGCCAGTGGCTCTCAACCTTTTTGGACTCGAGGCACCCCTCCCTGCACTGGTGGCACCCTCCCTAATGCTGGGAATCGAGTGGCACCCAATTTCAAAACCAAACGTACATGTTACAGGGCTGACCTCCTTCCACAGGGGCTGGGCAGTAGGGGTCTGGGATTGTCCAGGCAGGGACAAGCCTGAGTCAGGCTCATTCACTTAGCTTATCTGCTTATCATCTCACACCCTGCAGCACCCTGCAAAGGATCTGGCAGCACCCTAGGGTGCCCCGGCATCCTGGTTGAGAATCACTATCCTAGGAGCTCCCTTGCAGTCCTGTATCGTCTGCTCTTCTGTTCCTATACATGCTAATGGCCCGGTATCTAACAGAGCCGCGTCATCGCCGCAGGTCACCGTAGCATCACGCCTGCAGATCTATTGTTCCTTCTTGAGCCATTTCTTCCCGTTGCCACTGTTTCCTGTTACATGCTAGTAACACCTCGGCTCTATTAAAGCCCTAATCATCCAAGACCAGGAGCCCAGCCACGACTTTGTCTTTTCTTTTCTCAGTCCTGGTGGACTCTGATTGTCTTATATGCAATACAGAATTTGCAATCAAAGGCATGGGTGTGCTGGTGCCTCTGCCCTCTGCTACCCACCAGAAGACCTCTCTCCTAGCTGATGTGCAACAGATTGACAGGGGAAGCTGATCTGGTAAGCAGCTGAGGACCACGCTGGTTTGGTGTAATGCTGAGGGACCTATGGGTGGTACCTTTCTGTCTCGGGAGAAGGGAGGGTGCTGACACACAGGGCCATATTCAGTGAGGACTAAGATGGGGCAGAAATGGGGCTAGCCAACCATCTTGACACACACAACAGGCACTGCATGGCAGTAAGCGGTCTCCCCCTGTGAGCACACGTTCACGACACATCAGAAACAGCTTTGCGCTGGCTCTCCGTAGCAGCGCATCTCACCTTGTTTTCCCAGTCTTTCCTGGTTACTCTAATCACTATGGTAATCCCTGCTTCATCCTTGAGCTGGCTCCTTCTCTGGATAATCCCTCCCTGATGCTCCACTATCTTCCGCTGACGGCAGCTGAGGCTGTGGATCTCTCCCCCCATCCAGCAGAATTGCACCGGGTTGGGTATTCGGACCATCGCAGGAGTGAAATATGGGGGTCCGGAGATAATTGCCTCTTACAACTGCGGATCAGGAACATTTTACTGCCCTGATTGTAGTGCACGGGCCATTGCTGCCCACTCCAAATGGCTGTATCAGCCTGGAGCATGCCATACGAGAAGGGAAGATGGACTGGGCTTTGCTGCAGCGCACGGAGCCACGTATGCACATAGTCTAAGCAGGCCCGGCCTCTCCGGCTTTCATCTGGGGGGTCACGCATGACAGAAATCCATTATTCCTCAGGCCATTGGGAGCCCTCTCCCACTGGAAATCAGCTTCCTAAGTAGGAGAGCAACACTAGCCCCTCGACAGAGCAGCTGCATTTATTTTTTAAAGGTGGAGCTGGGTGGACAAAAAGGATCAGAAAAGGCATTTGGGCTCTGGCCTGGCTGCACTCCTCACCTCCGCTGTGACTGATGAGTAGCTGAGATGCTGAACCATCTCTTGGTGCCCTGCAGATCACTCTGGGGATGCTCACATGGCACTGAGGCCTCGTGGGATTTTGCTTCCTACAGGGCATGCTTACTGCATGTGCTTGACTCAGATGCCCTTCCCGGTTCCAGCGTCTCTCTTTCCCCAGCTTCTCTGTGCCCTCTCAAGACTGGGGCTTAGTTGCATTGCTTTGCCCCAAGAGCAGATGGGGGGCTCCTCTCCATTTTTTCCCCTCCCCACTGCTCTGTCTTGATGCTTTGCACCTGGCCGACGGGTGGAGAGACCCCTGTCCTCTGTCCCTCCGGCCAGCGCTCCTGCCCCCGACCCTAACACAGCGAGAACCTGCGGGAATTGATGTTCATCTTGGTGACCCCGATGAGCTTCAGGGGCGTGGACAGGCTGAAGGAGGTCACGAGCGGGAAGTCGCAGAAGAGGTCGGAGAGCTCGTCCCTCTCCTCCAGCTCGTAGGTGGCATCGTTGAGCATGCGCTGGTGCAGGTGGCAGGTCTGCTCGATCTTCAGCTTGTTGATGTCGCTCCGCAGGCGCATGAGCTGCCTCGCCAGCTGCTGGTCCTGGAGACGCATTTCTGTCTGAAACACAGAGGTGGGGGGGAAGGGGAATCAGTGCGTGCACGCACACAACACACTTCCACCGACATCAGCCACCGCCGGTGCCTGGCGAAGACGTGCGGCCAGGTCTTATCACAGAAGCATAGAAAATTAAGGTTTGGATGGGATCTCGGGAGCTCACGTCTCGTCCACCCCCCTGCTCCGAGCAGGACCAGCCCCAGCTCCATCATCCCAGCCAAGGTTTTGTCTATGTGGGTCTTCAAAACCTCCAAGGATGGAGACTGCACCACCTCTCTGGGTCACCTGTTGCAGAGCTTTACTGCCCTCCTAGTAGCCCTCTAATATCTAACCTCAACTTCTCTTTCTGCAGCTTGAGCCCATTGCTCCTTGTTCTGTCATCTGCCACCACAGACAGCAGAGCTCTCCATCCTCTGTGGATCCTCCCTTCAGGGAGCTGAAGGCTGCCATTAAATCCCCTCTCAGTCTTCTCCACATTAAATAAGCCCACTTCCCTCCACCTCTCCTCAGAAGTCACGTGCTCCAGCACCCTCACCATATTTATTGCCCTCCACTGGAGTCTCTCCAACTTGCCCACATCCTTTCTGTAGCGGAGGGTCCCAAACTGGACACAGGACTCCAGATGTGGCCTCCCTGGTGCCTAATCGAGGGGGAGAATCACTTCCCTTGATCTGCTGGCAAAACTCCTACTAACGAAGCCCAGGGTGCCCCAGTCTTCTGGGGCAGCTGCCTGCAGTAGGTACTATTATAGTGCCTTGCAGCTAGGTAAAAAAAGAGCCAGAAACAGTCTCTGATCAATTGGTTTCTCTGGGATGACTTTATCATATTTTCTCACCTAGAACACACACTTTTCCCAAAAACCAGCTGTCGCGTGCATTATCTGCAGGAAATATGGTAAGAGCTGTTTGAGCCAGTTACTGGGTAAAAGTGATGGGGACTCAGGAGGAGCAAAATACTGCGCAGGCTGCTGCTACTTCGATACTTACTACAGGGGAAAATCTTTTTTTTCTTCATTCAGCCTTTTGAAAAACAAGGTGTGCCTTTTATTCAGGGGCAGACTGTAGGTGAGAAAAGCTGGTAATTATAGCTACAGGTACACGGGCTGTCAACTGGATTCACTTACCCTGGTGAATAGCTACTCCTGACTTTCTCGGGGGTACCTTTACTCCATAGTGGAGTGACTACCCCCAACCTAGGGCCTGCTCCGCATTTGTGCAGGCTTAAAGGCATGCCGGGATTGCTCCTTAAATTCCCGCAGCTTCCAACTGTGGTTTCACGGGGCCCAGTTTAATTCATTTTTAAGCGAGCAGCAATTACGAAAGGCAGCAATTAGAGGCAGAAGAGATCCTCTAAGAGATCCCGGAGGAATTTTTCCTGACGGCGGGGGTCAGCTCCCCCGCTGCTCTCAATCAGCGTTGCTCCCAGAAGTGACATCAGTTTGCACCAGCTTCAGTTTTGGCCTGCCACGTTCTCCAGTGACTTGTCCTGCCCGGTTTGAAGTGGCTTCGGTGATGGAGCTAACACAGATTCCCACGGGAAAGACTTTCCTGCATTCCAGCACGGCTCGCTGGGCCGTAGTTTTTTTTGCCCCCCCGATGCCTGATCTGGATTCAGAAAAAAATGCGAAGGAGGTGATTTTTCCCGCTGCATATCATTAAGCGGTGAACCCCTTGCTGCAGGGCATCAGGGGAAATGGGCAAACATTTTCAAAAAGGAGTCAGTCCAGGGACTGCAAACGCCAACTTACAATTTCCTTCTACGAGGGGCCGCGGCCATTCTGCAAGGCTTAGAGGCCAGGTTGAAACCTCATATAGGGATGGATCATCCCCCAGCTGCCTATGATGAGGCATCTTCTGCTCCCCTTCTGCCCTCCTCTTCTGCCCTCCTTCTGGTGCTGGCCATTATCAGAGACAGGACACTGGGCTAGATAGACCCAAGACCTGAGGCTATCTGGCCATTTTTGTCCTCTTGGGTTATGGTTTCTCTGACTTCTCCTCCTGACCAAGTGATTTTCATTTTCTACCTCTGCCTCTGATAAATGTGCTCTAAGAAATCACCGGCTGGCTTGCATGAGCATTGGAGCAGGCCACTGGCCTTGTGATGGGGCATTCAGGCACATGCTGATGCTAAACTGGTTTTTACTGGGGTGGGGGGCTGGACTCGATGGTCTTCCGAGGTCCCTTCCAGCCCTAATGTCTATGAATCTCTTTTTGTATAAGACAGCTCCCCAAACTGCATGGGTTGTAATGCTTTCCTCGGCCCCCTCCTGTCTGACCCTGCATCGGTTACCGAGAGGCCCAGAATGGGCACAGCACATCCGACCACATACTTCTTGAAGTCTAGATATATGACGCCTGTATCCTCTCCCTTGTGCAGTCCTAGCCCACAACAGGTCTCTACTCTGGATGTGTCTCAAAGGGGCTTGCTGAACCAAGGGTGCAAATTAGAGCAGCCACTGGGTTGCCATAACCCAAAATGACCGGCGACTCTGGTTTTCCAGGACCGTCCTGAATTTTGGGGCTGCATCCCCAGAGAGCTCCTGAAACAGGACTTGGATCCTGAATTTGAAGTAACTTATCTTGGATTAGCCCATTCTTACTGCCACAGATGTTGTCAGAGCTCCAGGTAGCATCCTGCTGCATCTCCTGAGAAAGCTGCCTCGTACCATCTGACCCCAGCTGGGTAATTCTTGCAATGGGAAGCAGTATAGCTGTGTTAATACAGCCCGGCACCTGCGCTAATTAATTCTCCCAGCAGCAGGAGTTAGTCAGGCTGCTGTGCGGCACCAGGACACCGGACACGAATGAGATCTGGAGGGGGTATAACCGCCTTTGCTTTTAAAGGTCTATAAAGTGTTAGAATCACAGACAATGAGGGTTGAAGGGACCTCAGGAGGTCACATCTAGTCCAGCCCCCTGCTCAAAGCAGGACAGCCCCAACTACATCCTCCCAGCCAAGGCTTGGTCTACCTGGGTCTTAAAAACCTCCAAAGAGGGAGGCTCCATCACCTCTCTGGGTAGCCTGTTCCAGTGCTTTACTACCCTCCTAGCGAGAAAGTTTTCCTAATATCCAACCTAAACGTCCCTTGCTGCAACTTGAGCCCATTGCTCCTTGCTTTGTCATCTGCCCCCACTGAAAACAGCCCGGCTCCATCCTCTTTGCAGCCCCCTGCAGGGAGTTGAAGGCTGCTATCAAATCCCCCCATCATCTTCATTTATTCAGCCCAGTTTCCTCAGTCTCTCCCAGCCCTGAACCATTTTCATTGCCCTCCGTTGGACTCTCTCCAATGTGTCCACATCCTTTCTGTAGTGAGGGGCCCAAAACTGGACACAGGACTCCAGATGTGGCCTCACCAGTGCCAAATAGAGGCGGGGGGAATCACTTCTTTTGATCTGCTGGCCGTGCTCCTACCAATGCAGCCCAGGATGCCATTAGCCTTCTAGGCAACAAGGGCGCACTGGTGGCTCATATTCAGCTTCTTGTCCACTGTCACCCCCAGGTCCTTCAGACCTTTTTTGCAGAGGACTAAGGGTTCTGTTCTGAATTTTGTTCCCTGAAAACTGCACCTGAACAAGGACCCAAACTAGATCCTGAGAAGAAGAAGTGCAAGCTGCTTCCTCTCTGTCTCTGCACCACCCAAAGCTGCAGGCGAAAGACCTTGCATTTTGCACAGGGTTGGTCTCCGTGCAAGCCTGCGAGGGGGCCGAAGTGGGGCAAACGTCTAGGAATGGTGGCCTGGTCATCTTTCAGCCATCCCGCATGACCTGGGACAGCCCCTTGAACTCCTCTATGCCTCTCTTCTCTCACCTGCCAGGTTCCTTGGGGCATTGCGAAGCATCAGGCTCGGGGGCCAAGGACTGACATCAGCACCATTAGTGCTAATCGGGGTGGAGACCTTTTGCATTCATGTGAGTGGTGACAGATGAAGTAAAGGCGCCTGCCCAGCCCTGCCTGCAGGTCCTGAGAAGGCTGTGAGAACCGCAGCTTGCATCCCAGGCACCTGGAAAGGACA